CATAATTATTACATGCTTACAAGGTTGGAAGTTCAACAAATCAGTCAATATACTGTGATTGTAGTTGTTAAATAAAAATGTCATTCATATCAATTCATGCATCACCTAATTTCATCGTAACATATAGGCCTGGCCTACAGAAAATAACATTTATGTTTAATCTATCTAATAGTGTGTTGGTCATACTATACAATGATTTATATCTTGTCTTTGTTGAATAATACAGAACATAAAGAGCTTTAAAAAATAATTGCATATTAAATCACAATCGCAATATTGGTAAAAAAAATCGCAATTAGATTATTTTCCAAAATCGTTCAGCCCTAGTGGGAGTGTGTGTGTGTGAGTGAGTGTGTGTGTGTGTGTGTGTGTGTGTGTGTTCACGATGAGGAAACACCTCCCCGCTTATATTTGAAAAAGCAAAACACGCCAAGCATCTTCCCTTGTAATGACATGCAATGATAAGCCTTTCTAAACCTGTGTTCCAACAAAAGAGAACATTATAACTTGTTTTTACGTCACAACATCAGTCGAGTGCTTGAAACAACTTCCTTTTGTGATCTGATGTGGCTTCTTATAACAGAATGAGGCAGAACATATATTCTATTAGGCATGCTCCGATCAGGATTTTTGCAGCCGATACTGAGTACCGATTTCTTGTCATGGTGATCGGCCGATTCTGATGCCGATTCTGATACTTCAAGCTTTATATAAACGGTTTCATCGAGCGCACGCGCCTGGCCCGAAGTTAACTTCCGGTCTGTGTTTGTTTATCAGTCTGGCGCCGGCTACAAACACAGTTAAAGTTAAGGTGATGAGTAGACTGAAGTTGGGCTCAGGTGGTTGTGCTGTGGGATGTGTTTCTCATACATTTATTTATATGTGGCGCTCGCCACAATATCAAAACTGACCGATTTTCCTAAAGGCTTCGTTGAATAAACATGAGCACGTACTGCACGTTTAAAAATCAAAACGAGGCGTGGGTGTTATATCACTGTATTTCTGAAGGAAGACTAGCTTTAGAAAATGTTCGATGTCATTTTCATGTCATCTTGCATGTTATATGCCTGATAAAGCAGCGTTTGTGAGCTCAGCGCTGCTTTGTGTACAGCTGTTACTGGGAAACCTCTGTTTTTGTTCCAACTCACAAAAGACTATTTTTAACCAAGCAGCACGGAGAGCCGCTTCAGAAACGTGCCGCGGCTGGCTGATAAACACAAGCACTGACTAGAGCCGCGATCAGCTCCGGTGGCCGTGGAGCCGTAACACGCCGCAGACGCGTGTAGTGAGGCGCAGATCAGCTCTAACGTCACTGAATCTGCTGTGTAGATAAATCATGCAAAACATACACGACAAACAGCACATTTTTCATTGTTTCTCGAAACGTCATAGCATTTCCACACCGGCGATGACATGACTGCGGCGCCAAATCATTTATGTCCCACACATCATGTACGTCGTCACGCGTTGACGTCATCAAATTGCGATCGGTTCCTGAGATCGGCCAAGTTAGTGAGTACCGATCGAGTCATGAAATATGATTATCGGCCGATACCGATCTCCGGCCGATCGATCGGAGCGTCCCTATATTCTATACTGTAATAAAGGCTATGTCGATTAGAAATGGCTTATAAATATCATTAAGAAAACACCCGAGATGGCTTGAAGAACACAGATAAACCATATATTGCTGCAGGCGAGTGTTTATTGTCCTTACTTTTCATCATTCAAAACGTTTAAAGTTAAATATTCTTTTTATTCAGTTACAGCGATAGCGACGTCTTTATCCATTTTAGGGATTTTCTCGGAGCATCATCAGTTCTATTACTTCTGTGATGCAGGTGAGGATTTTCTGCGCGAGGGCGCCCTCTGGCTGCCAGAAGCACGCATTACATGTGTTTATAGCGCTCAATAATGGCCAATCCATCCTATTTTGGGTAAAAATCTGACAAATACTACCGCTCTCAAAAGAAATGTTAAGCAGACATATAATAATCCACACTTATTCTAGTGTACAGAGTTTTTGTTGTTAATTTATTGCAAAAACAACACTCTAATGTGCCAAGCTATCAGCACCGAACCGAAAACCGTGGTTAAAAACCGAGGTACGTATTGAACCGTGGACTAGCTGTATTGTTGCATCACTAGACCAAACCCGAGTCTGTTACGCTGGAGTCTGGTGATCACGGCGTTAGCTGCTGTTGAAGTGTCTGTTTGTTTGCTCTCAGTCGGTTCAGATGGAGTCCGTCTCGCTCACGTCTGACCTCAAGCTCTTACTGGAGGATCTGCATCAGAAGAAGACCAGCATCTACAGATCCATCCCATACTCCCGCCTGGCCTCCAACCGCGACGCACACTGCTACAGGAAAGCCCGTCCACACCTGATGGCCTTCAGGGTGAGAACATTCCCTCTTACACTTACAGTAATGATAGTATATTGTTCTTACACTGCTGGGCAAACGGTTCAAATCATTAAAATGTTTTAATCTTTTTGAAAGACGTTTTTTCTGCTCAGCAAGGCAGCATTTTTTAAAATCAAAAATACTGTAAAAAATTGTGAAATATTGTTACAATTTCTGTTTTCTATGTGAATGTGTTAAACTGTAATGTATTTTCATTCAGAGCGTCTCTCACGCGCTCCGCCATGTGCTTCTCATCCGCGCTTGTTTACATCAGAGAGCACACGCGTGTGTGATGCAGCATACAGCGGTGTTGTGCATTTAACCAGTTGATGGGAAAAGTACTCTTAAAGTGCATTCAAAATTCTGAATAATTTGTAATAAATAATTATTCTCGGTATTTTGAAGTGCCCACGATAACAATATAGTGCATATTCATTACCGTGATATATCGCATTACCGAATACATTTACATTCATGTCTATTCACAGATGAAAAGAGAGTTCAAAAGAACAGCATTTATTTGAAATAGAAATCTTTTGTAATATTATAAATCTCATTACTCTCACTTTTGATCAATTTAATGTGTCCTTGATGAATAAAAGTTTTTTTTTTTTCTACATTTAATGTATCACGGTTTCCACAAAAATATTGAGCAGCACAACTGTTTTCAACATTGATAATAATCAGAAATGTTTCTCGAGCAGCAAATCAGCATATTAGAATGATTTCTGAAGATCATGTGACACTGAAGACTGGAGTAATGATGCTGAAAATACAGCTGCGCATCACAGAAATAAATTACAGTTTAACAGAGATTCACATAGAAAACAGCTGTTTTACATTCTAATAATATTTTACATTTTTTAATGTACTGATTTGATCATATAAATGCAGCCTTGTTGAGCAGAAGAGACTCTTTTAAAAACTGTAATTATTCCAAACTGTGGACTGCTAGTGAGTATGTTTCTGTATAATATATAGCTCATGAGTTGCACTGGAGGTGAAGTAGAAAGTAATTTCATTGACATTCATGCATTTGCTGATGCTTTTAGCGAAGTGAGATTATTTGACATCATTTCAGTTCATACTTTCACTGGGAGTCGAACCCATGTCTTTGATTATCAGAGTTTAGACTCTGAGTTTTGCTAAATGGTGACACGTGAAACGTACACAAAGTGATTGTAATGAATAGTCCTAAGTGAACTCCGCTGGGTGTGATGTGTTTGTGCAGCGCTCGTGTCAGGACGGAGGCCGTCTGCTCCTGCAGAAAGCTGAGTGGCAGAAGCTGCTGGAGTTCGTTCAGGCCGCGTGCCGCTACGCCAGTGAGCTCCCGCAGTGGGAGACCAGCACCCATGATGCACTGCGAGAACACTGCTACGACACGCTAGCGGCGCTCTGTACCGCGGTGCTGCAGAAACACAGACCCGCCGCGCGCAGAGCCCGAGAACTGCTGCGCAGGTGAGCAAACACGCACCTAACACGCCTGATTCTGCTGTCACACTTCACAAATGTGCTTTTTACAACAAATGAGCTAAAGAAATATGAAGAAAACACCTTTTTTTGTGTTTGTTTGTAGGGATGCATGATTTGGCCCAAAATTTTCGTTTCTATGTCAGTATGACTGATACAAATTTTTATGAATATTTAATTTAATTTGAAGAGTAGTTTTTTTTGTAGATCTCAGACATCTTATTGGCTTATTTTCTTTTAGTAAGTCAGACAGATAGAAGGTGCCAGATCATTTAAGGATTTAAAAACAAATACCAATATCTTAAAATTTTATTGTTATAGTACTTACGCTATTTCATCTAAATGGAAAAGAAAATATAAGACCTTTAATATAATAAAATTAAAATCCTTTAATATTCTTTTATGTGAGTTTGTGAAAATATATCAGAGCTTCATTTATTTTAAAAAGTCTGAAACTTTCTCTGTCAAAATATTTATTATTTTAATGTCTTTATCTTCTACCTGTTTGTTTCAATTTTTGCTCCTTGTTTTTCATAGTAACACATTTCACTATGAAACACGCAGAACATATTTATTCATGAAAAATCACAGCCTTTGTAATTTCATAATCGCACTAAACCAGATCGCAGTTTGGGTTTAATTTCGATGAATTCTGCAGCCCTGAGCTTTCACTCTTTCTGATTCTTCTTGTGTTTTTTATTTGTAGGTTCAAAATGGCTCCGGTGTCGAGGCGAGCGATCGGCCCGTGTTTAGAGCAGCTGGAGAAGATCCTGCAGGAATATCAGAGCAGAGAACCACAAACTCAGATCCAGCCGTGAGTCCTGCGTTCAGACCAGAGCGCCGCTGATGAGTGACGTCACTGAGATCTCCACATCTGAATGCTGTGACACATGCTGATCCCGCCCCTCAGAGCATGTGACCCGCCCCTCGGAACATGTGACCCGCCCCAGGCCACATCCGTCTTACATGAGTGACGGAAGGACCCAGAATTCCTTGCTGTGGCCGGACCTGATTACTTGAATGCTTGTTTATTTTGTGCTGTGTTGAGCAGGTGTAAATATGTTTGTGTGTGAACGTTTGTCTCGTCTGTCCGTGCTGCACTTTTAAATGTCTCCGTCTGTTATAGTTTGTAATAAATCCATTGTTTTTTTCTTAAAGGGATGTCCTGTTTCTCTTCTTGTGCCGTTGATTATGACAGACAGTGATTCCAGCTCGTCTGATCAAACAGGAAGCAGTAGATGTGCTTTTAATGGCGTTCAGAAGGTAATCGTGCAGCATCACGCACACCATAAACAGCATCACAACACTCAGTGAATTATTCTTGCAGTAAATTATTCTCTTCAGTGTGTATTTGGCTTAAAATTAAGAGTGTTTT